TAGAGGGAGAGGCGGTCTCACAGATATGAGGCCATGATGTGATAGCCAATATGATAAACTGAGCCCGGTAATGGATGGGCAAAAGGGGTCGCGGTGGCTCAGACGTTAAGACGCTGAACTGCAGACCGGACGGTCGGTAGGTCGGCAGTTCGAGACCCGAGTGCCGCGGGACGGAGTGAGCTCCCACCTCTGGCCCCAGCTCCTGCCAACCTAGCAGTTCGAAAGCAAGAAACTGCAAGTAGATAAATCAGTAATACTGCTTTGGTGGGAAGGTAACAGCATTCCGTGCGCCTCGGTGTTTAGTCATGCCGGCCACATGACCACGGAGACGTCTTCGGACAGTGCTGGCTCTTTGGCTTGGAAATGGAGATGAGCACCACCCCCTAGAGTCGGATTCGACTGGCTTTCGAGCAAGGGAACCCTTTACTAATTGATGGGCGGCCAGTAAATTGACTGCAGAATGGGAGTAATATGCATGTTCCATCTTTTTCATGCATGTATTTTTTGTATTTTGTGTATGTGTGTGCATGTGTGTATGTGTCGGCACCTGGAAGCAGTGTTCCCTCTAAGCTGAGTTAGCGTGAGCTAGCTCACAGTTTTTTAGCCTCCTGCTCACACATTAATAAATCTAAATATTAATAATGATGATGATGATAATAATGGGTAATGGAATAATAATGCGGTAATGGGATGGCCCATGATAAAGATCTTGCCACAGTATCGTGATGGATCGGGACCGCTGAATCTGGCTTTTGGGTAACATCTACAGCTCACCATCTTGATTCGATCTGCATGATGAACATCATTGAGCACTTTATTATTGTTCATTATGGTTGATTTTATTCTGCTTTTAATGTTTTATATTGGCACATGGTTGCCCTCGTTTGTAAGCTGCCCTGAGCCCGTTTGTGGGGAGGGCGGGATAGAAATGCAATAATTAATTAATTAATTAAATAATAATTTTTGTCTCCACTCAGGAAGGAGGGCTCCAGTGCAATAATTCTTGCAGTCGCCAAATCGCTCGCTCACAACTTTAATGCCAGGAGCTCACAAAGTAGAATTTTTGCTCACAGGACTCCACAGCTTAGAGTGAGCATCACTTGTAACGTTAATGAAAATCCTGATATTATTAGATCTTCTTCAAAGGAGAATTCTTTTGGGGCAAATACTAGTTAATTGTAGATATCAAGTGCTTTAAAGTTATTTATTCTTGTTTAAATTTGCTTTTAAATTTATATGCATCGCTTTCTTAGTGAGAAACTCTATTTTTATCTTTCCTAGAAGACGCCTAATACAAAACATTTGAAAAAAGAAAACAGGTTACTAAACTAAATTTACAGTGGTCCAGAGCAGTGTTCCCTCTAAGCTGAGTTAGTGTGAGCTAGCTCACAGTTTTTTAGCCTCTGACTCACAAATTTTTGTCTTAGCTCAGGAAGGATGGCTCCAGAGCAAATCGGTGTCCTCCAAGTCGGCAAGAGTTGGCGCGCTGGGCAGGGTGTAAGCTGGCGCGGCGCCCAGGCGGTTGAGCTTGGAGATACTGTTGATCGTCATGGAGCCCAGGGGCATGGAGTTATCTGCAGGACAAAGCGGGCATGGGGTTGCCAGGTCAGCCGGGCTACGCAAAGGGCACAGAGAAGCAGCAGAAGCAGCCGTCGGAAGAATTCAACTGCTGGAGAATCTCAGTTTTCACTTCCTTTTTTTTTTTTTAAAAAAAGAAATGTCTACCCCTTAGTTCTGTAAAAATACAGCTGATACGCAGGGCTCTTTTTGTAGAAAAAGCCCAGCAGGAACTCGTTAGCATAATAGGCCACACCCAACAGCATAAACCCATTAGCATATTAGGCCACAGCCCTGACAGCACAGCTCATTAGCACATTAGGCCGCACCCCCATGTTACCAGAAGTGTGGTCATCCAGCCACACCCACCTTTTGCTTCTTATTCTGTTGACCTTGTTTGTTGTTAAAACCCAGGGCCCTTTTTTGTAGCAGGAACTCCTTTGCATGTTAGGCCACACACCCCTAATGTAGCCAATCCAAATGGGTTTCTGCTGTTCGGTGTGGCCTATTATGCTAATGAGTCCCTGCTGGGCGTGGCCAACTCGGGAGCCAGCTGAAACTCCGTTCCTGTGCGTTCCTGCCCAAAAATAGCCCTGGCTGATAGCGGAAAGACTTAGGGCTTAGCTGTACATGGCGGCATCCCTGTGGTGGACACGGGCAGGCCATTTGAAGCCTGGGATTTTAGTATTTGAAGAAACACCATGGGGACTGAGTCTATGAGCTATCCGGAGAGCCGGTGTGGTGTAGCAGTTCGAGTGTTGGACTAAGATCCGGGAGACCCACATTTGAATCCCTATTCGTGCCCTTGGAGCTCGCTGGGTGACCTTGGGCCAGTCACACACTCTGAGCCTAACCTACCTCACAAGGTTGTTGTGAGGATAAAATGGAGGAGATGGGAATTATGTAAGCCACCTTGAGTCCCCACTGGGGAGGAAGGCGAGTAGAAAGGACCAGCTGAAGGTGACTCGGTGGACTATCCCTGGCTGAAGAGGCTTGGAAATGGCGTGTGGGGTATTGTACTTTGGCCACATTATGAGAAGACGAGCGACTGGAAAAGATAATAATGCTAGGAAACGTTGATGGCAGATGGAAAAGAGGAAGACCCAACCTGAGATGGAATGACTCCATCAAGGAAGTCAATGGAATGACTCCATCAAGGGTTTAAATGGCTCAGAGCCATTTAAACCCCTGCTTTCTGCTCCCTGGGAAAAGCTGAAAGCAGGATCATCAACCAATACGAACTGGTTCAGTTTGTGAACCGACATATTGGCTTGTGCTTTGGTTTGTGGTTCACCCGTGAACCACACAACCGAACTGTAAAAATGTGGTTTGTGCCCATCCCTATTAACTTAACGTGGAGGAAATGCAAAGAAGCACAGAGAATGAAGGCTGGCGCAAGCTGACCGTCCATCTTGATGCTCCAAGTCATGTGGAAGCCGTCCATCATCAGGTAGAAATTCTTCAAATCCTCCGGCAGCACGCAGCCATTTTTCTACAAAAAGCCAGAGGGGAGAGAACAGACTGTTGGTGATCGCAAGCAAAGACTGCTGACACCGAACACAATCAACTAATGGGGGCTGGGCTGCAGGGTCAGGTGTTCCCTCACACCTCCATTACCCAAGCAGTGGCATGAATGATAGCCGTCGCTTCTTTGTTCATTCATTCAAAGTATTTATTAGCTGCCGTTCTTCCCGCAGAGCTCAAGTTGGTTTAAGGTAAAGGTAAAGGTTCCCTTGCTCGAAAGCCAGTCGAATCCGACTCTAGGGTTGTGGGGCTCATCTCCGTTTCCAAGCCGAAGAGCCAGCGCTGTCCGAAGACATTTCCGTGGTCATGTGGCCGGCATGACTAAACACCGAGGTGCACGGAACGCTGCTACCTTCCCACCGGAGTGGTACCTATTTATCTACTTGCAATTTCTTGCTTTTGAACTGCTAGGTTGGCAGGAGCTAGAACTAGAGACGGGAGCTCACTCCGTCTTGCGGCACCCGGGTCTCAAACTGCTGAACTACTGACCTTCCACAGCCTGCAGTTCAGCATCTTAACCACTTGAGCCACCGCAGCTCCTCAAGTTGGTTTACGATATTAATAAAATATACAAATAGTTAAGGCTAGCAGAATTCTCTGTTTCATTGTGATTAACAAGGTCTGGGTGAGACGGGGGCATAAAGGCACCGCGGCTCAGTGGCAGAGCGTCTGCTTGATATGCAGAAGGTCCCAGGTTCAATCCCTGGCATCTCCAGTTGAAAGGACCAGGTGGGAGACGAGAGGCAGTTTGGTGTAGTGGTTAAGTGTGTGGATTCAAATCTGGGAGAACTGGGTTTGATTCCCTACTCCTCCACATGCAGCTGCTGGTGTGACCTTGGGCAAGCCACAGTTCTCTCAGAGCTGTTTTCTCAAGGACAGTTTTGAAAAGAGCTCTCTCGGCCCCACCGACCTCACAGGGTGTCTGTTGTGGGGAGGGGAAGGGAAAGGAGTTTGTAAGCCGCTCTGAGACTCCACATGAAGGTCGGGGTATAAATCCAATCACTTCTTCTAAAAGACCTCAGTGGTTCATTGATAGAGCATCTGCCTGGGTTGCAGGAGGTCCCAGGTTCAATCCCTGGCATCTCCAGTTGAAAGGACCGGGTGGTAGGTGATGTGAAAAGACCTCCGCCTGAGACCCCAGAGAGCTGCTGCCAGTCTGAGTAGACAAGACTGACACTGATTGGACCAAGGCTTTGATTCAGTGTAAGGCAATTTCATGTGTGTTCCTCATGGCAGTGTCTGGGCTACCAACCTTTCTGGGCTACCCAGGCCTCATCCCCAATTTCCCCTGATGCAGAGACCCATTTTTGACCTTTACGACAAAGAACTGTGTGAAGGAAGGCTTATAACACATCCGGCTCAGAACAGACACTTTTATCTTGAAATGTGAGAGCCCTTTGCAAGACATTGGGAACGGAAAGCTGAAAGGTATAAGAAAATGCATGCTTTTGCATTAAGAAGAGAAGAGATTTTATACCCTGCCCTTCACTCAAGAGTCTCAGAGCGGCTTACAATCTTCTTTCCCTTCCCCTCCCCACAACAGACACCCTGTAAGGTCGGTGGGGCCGAGAGAGCTCTTTCAAGAACAGCTCTGACAGAACTATAGCTTGCCCAAGGTCATCCAGCAGCTGCGAGTGGAAGAGTGGGGGATCAAACCCAGTTCTCCCAGATTAGAGTCCGCGCACTTAACCACACCACCAAACTGGCTCCTAGTACCACAGGGCTGGAGCTGCGGTGGCTCAAGGGGTTAAGACGCTGAACTGCAGGCTGTGGAAGGTCAGTAGTTCAGCAGTTCGAGACCCGAGTGTGCCGCAAGATGGGGTGAGCTCCCGTCTCTAGTTCCAGCTCCTGCCAACCTAGCAGTTCGAAAGCAAGAAATTGCAGGTAGATAAATAGGTACCACTTTGGTGGGAAGGTAACAGCGTTCCGTGTGCCTTGGTGTTTAGTCATGTCGGCCACATGACCATGGAAATGTCTTCAGACAGCGCTGGTTCTTCGGCTTTGAAACGGAGATGAGCACTGCAACCCTAGAGTCGGATTCGACTGGCTTTCGAGCAAGGGAACCTTTACCTTTACTTTACCACAGGGCTAGGATAGCAAAAATCATGAGCCATGATGTGATGTGGTTTCACATTTCAAAGTTATTTTTGTCTCAGCCTTGAGAACGAGAAAATTGGGTGTGTTTTCAACATCAAAATGTGAGATTCTCTGGACTCTGAGAGTGTATCTACCCAAGACAGCCACACCGAGAGCCAGTGTGGTGTAGGGTGCGTAACTGTCACATGTATATATATATATATAAATTAACCCTACCCTTTCCCCCCAAGCTCTTCAGAAGAATCTCCTGTTTGTATGCAAAGGAAATACTGGAATTGAGAGACAGAGGCCGAGTCAGACTGGCAGTTTGCCCCGATATAGGCAACAAGCCAGAAACGTTTCACAAACGGATTAAAGGGGCCGCTCACACAGGCACATCTGTCAGGCGTTCCCCAGCCGTACTCAACCCATCTTGTAACGCTTCCGAGTTTAAAAGATACCAGGTGAAAGTGGTAGCAAACCCTGGAAAGCGCGATTATCCCGCGTCTATCCCGCTTCCTGGAAGTGTGAACGCGAAAAGCCGCGATCCGGCAGGGATGCGCTTATGCGCTTATGCGCTCACCGGAAAAAGCCGCTGACAGCCGCACCTTCGGGCCAACAGTGTGAACGCTCCCTTGCGCCTCCTCCCCGGTATGCTCCCGCATCAGTCGGTGAAGTGTGACCAGGAAAACCAGGAACAGTTTCTTCCGGGGCGACTCCCTCCCGCTTCAAACTGCCAGCCTGAACTCAGCCAGAGATTGAGTGTGTCTGTGTGGGTCAACAACAGATCCTCTCCAGCGGAAGGTGCCCCCAGGCTCTGCAGAGACGCATCCGGAAAACTCCCCAATGTTCAGCAGCGGCCTGCGAGCTATTTCGGAAGCATTCCAGGGATTCCACAGCAAAGACCCCGGAGCTGGGGGCTTGGGAAGTCGTGACCCCGAGTAAGAGAGGACCACGGTCAGCGCCAAGCAGTGCCTTGCTCACAGAAGCTGTTCGGGGCACGTGGACTGACTGAGAACATTCCTGGCTTGCAGAGGGATGGGGGGGGTGCCTTTCCCTTGGGCTGTTTTTCAGTCATCGGATGGGTGTATGCAGTGTTCCCTCTAAGCTGAGTTAGTGTGAGCCAGCTCGCCGTTTTCTAGCCTCCAGCTCACACATTTTCATCTCCGCCCAGGCAGAATGGCTCCAGAGCAGACTAATTGATGCAGCAGCCAAGTCGCTCGCTCACGACTTTCATGCCAGTAGCTCGCAAAGCAGAATTTTTGCTCACAAGACCCCACAGCTTAGAGGGAACATTGGGTGTACCTGACGTCATCCAAGGCCTCAGTGCAGAGGAGGTCGGTTTAATCCGGCCTTCTGGCCACGCCTGGTGGGTGGATCAGGCCCTCTCATCTCTGGACAGCATTTTATTTATGTATTTATTACTTCGCTACTTTTCATTCTCTGGGGGGGGCGGTGGCTTTAAGAGCTGCACAACAGGCTGAAGTGGAACAGGTAAAGCTTCTCTGATACCGCTATGGGGGGAAAGCATGACCAGTTTCATTTCTGCCTGAGGTAAAGCTGTTAAATACGCAAAAGCCCTGCCGGGAAAACAGGGGGCCGCCCCGCTTCCCCCTGCTGTTAAGACCATACCGTCCCCCCCAGTGTCAGCTCCTGCAGCCTGTTCTACAGCTATGTCATCAAAGAGGCAGAGTGGATCACGCCACCTTGGACAAAAAAGGGCCCCGCTGATGATTTCTGCACAGTTTGGCCTTTCTCTGCTTCTCCTTTGCCTTGAAAGTCCCATGCTGGTGTCGCCATAGGTCTTGGATGGGAGACCACCAGGGAAGGCTCTGCAGAGGAAGGCAGTGGCCAACCACCTCTGCTTCTTACTTGCCTTGAAAGCCCCTTGCTGGGGTCACCATAAGTCTTCAATGGGAGACCACCAAGGAAGGCTCTGCAGAGGAAAGCAATGGCCAATCACCTCTGTTTTTCACTTGCCCTGAAAGCCCCTTGCTGGGGTCAGTTGTGACATGGCCGCCCTTTCCACACATGTCCTGGTAAGAGGAGCTGCTGGTAGACTCCTGTCTCTGTTAAACAGGGGTCAGCCATGTCTATAAACCATACAAAATCTTTAATCGCACAAAGCTGCCTTATACTTAATCGGACTGTCAGTCCATCAAAGTCTACTTGGATAATGGAAAAAAATCACGGACCACATTCAAAAGTCAGAAATCTAGCCAGAATTATCCAACTTCATGGAAAAACGGTTCCTGCTTCTGGACTGTGTTCTAACAAATGACTGCCAGCCGCACAACCCAATTTATCTAATGTTGCTACACTCTTAACATAAGAACATAAGAGAAGCTGATGTTGGATCAGGCCAATGGCCATCTAGTCCAACACTACTAGAGAAAACAGTGGGAGAAACGAAGGCTTAAGCTCCTCAAGGACGGCGAGGAAGCCCCAATCCCCCAGCACTATCCATTCTCGTAGAATCGACCACCTGCCTCCAGCGCTGTCCCCGAAACAGCCTGCCCTTCGCTCTTCTGCCTGGACGGATCGCATCGCGCCGCATGCCCAAAGCGTCCCTCCATCGCCCGGAGCGTTTCCGTCCAGCATTCTTGTCGGCCTGCGTCATGTCTGACTTCCTGGACCGCTGTCACTAGACCTTTGCACCAAGCGGGCCGACCTTGACGGGTCTAACGTCCCCCCCCCCGTCTGCCCAGATGCCTGATGTCACTGCCCGGTTGGATCCTCTGGCCTCTGGGATGATACAGCCCTAAGATTCTGCCTTCTGGAAAAAAGACCTGCGGCACAGAGAAGGAGGGAGCTGCGTGAAGCAACTCCCGGGACAGCGAAAGGGAAGCGCAGGTCAGACTCTTGCATTTTTTTTTTTTGTTTCCTCGATAT